AAATGTCATCACCAGAAGTCCTTGGTGGGTGCTAGAACATTCAGTAGTAAACTGGAGGTACAGCTCTCCAACTATAACTGAGCACATTTTTATCCTTCATTATATCCCACTGGCACTGACATATCTTGATAAATCCAATAGACTGTAACACTTCAGATAAGAAATAAAGTTGCCTTAGTTTAGAATGACTTGTTTTTAGTGAACCATACGGCTACTTGTAATAAACTACAGCCATTTCCAAGTAATTAGTAAAAAAATTTTGAATAAGCCAGTCTGTTTTCCAGTTGGTGGTTTCTACAATCCTTTTGAAAAATTAGAACATTCCCCTCACTTCCACTCTTGTGATATTTCTATTTTTATTCAATAAAACAAAGTGGGTGTTATATAAACACAAACAAACCCAACCATCTGAAATTTTAAATGTACCTAAATAACAACTGAGCCAATGGACTATTTAGAAAATGTGTGGGAAAAATTTTGATGCTATTGCTATAATCAGAGGCAAATGTATAGCTTTAAATGCTTTTATTGGGAAAGAGAGGAATGAATAAGTGAATGAGTGGATGAATGAATGAATGAACCAAGCATTCGACCTTTCGGAACACAGGAAAGGAAATAACAAGAAAAATATAAATTAGAGTATAGAGAAAAATGAATACAGATAAATTGAAAACTCTGACAAAAATATAAACAATTATGTAACAAAATTTTATCACAAAAAGAGTAAAATAAACAAATATTAGGCACTTAATATCAGACCTAAAAAATAAATCCTTAGATAGAAAAGAAAAAGCCTGGGGTGGTGTCAAAGTTTGGATAAGAGGAAAGGAAAATCTCCACCATTGTGGAGAGTTTTTACAGAGGTGATCATGTGATAATGTTTTTAAGTTTTTTGTTTTTGTTTTTAAGCTTTAGAAAAGTTTTAGAAGTTGAATGAAAACAGCTCATGACTTTGGCAATTAAGAAGGCATTGGAGGGGCGCCTGGGTGGCTCAGTCGTTAAGCGTCTGCCTTCGGCTCAGGTCATGATCCCAGGGTCCTGGGATCGAGCCCCGCATCGGGCTCCCTGCTCCGCAGGAAGCCTGCTTCTCTCTCTCTCCCACTCCCCCTGCTTGTGTTCCCTCTCTCGCTGTGTCTCTCTCTGTCAAATAAATAAATAAAATCTTTAAAAAAAAAAAAAAGGCATTAGAGATGCTAGAAGCTCTTTCGGTAGAGTATGCATTAGAAAGCAAGAGGTCAGGTGGGTAGGAAGAGGCAATAAGAGCCACCCATTTTTAGAATTTTGGAAACTGATCCAAAAGGGCCCAACAGTGAAGTCAGGTTGGGTTCTGATACAGGTGTTCTGAGGATTCTTGCATCTTCAGAAAAATGCCCCATTGCTGCTGAGTTAACCCGCTAAATGAGGTTGTGCCAAAAGTAAGGTCTTGGCAACAACTTCAAAACAATCCCTCCTATATGGTACTATTTTTATTGTTATTTAATAATAGTTTAGACAGTAATAATGAAAGACTTTGATTAGACAAAATTAGTTACTCATTAGATTTCTTTAATGTTAACTCCAGAGTTCTCTTACTATTTATTTCAACACTGTTGACACATTGCACTCCATTGTTAGTCCAACCCAGTATTCGATGTCCATCAGATCTCTGACAACTGCATTAATTTTCATTAATTTAGCACACATGACTTAATAGTGTACATCACTGCCAGTAATAATTGTTGCAAATTGATTAGGATTTCTTGTAAAGAATGCCGCTACTGATATTTAAGATCTGTGTTAGCTACCTTTGGCCAAAAAATTATCATCCTGCAGAACAAACAGACTGTGGATAACGTGCTTTCCCTAGAAGTAAATGGTTTACAATTGTTTATATCTGAAAAGATGTAGCGTCACCTTCAGTAGTTGTTTTGAAAAGAAATATTCTTCTGGAAGCAGTGGGTAGTGGATGAGGGGGAAGTTGGTTGAAAACAAAAAATATTCAAAAAAGGAAAACAGTGTTCATCCCCTTTTAAGAGCTATTCAGATGAAAAATTGCTCGGCATGAGCTTGATCTATATGTTTCTCGTGGTTATTAGTAGTAATGAAGATGCATTAACCATATTCTCTTGATAATGCTCTAGCAGTTTCTTAGTACTTTTATCAACATATAAATTTTACAACTGGCAGTGTGGGAATTTGACTAGTACATTTTTGTTTATAAAAAAGGGTAACAACATTATAACTTCTTCATATCTGTGAATTATGAATCTTGACTTGCAAACAAGCAAAACTAAAATGCAATAGAACTTCAGTATCATAATAGCTCTTCTTCCTACTGCCATGCACAAGAAATGGGAATGCATGCAGGCTGCTGAGTAGAACACAGTGCCAGAGGTAAATGCCTTACTTAATCCACAATGTATGAGTTCTTTTCATTTCATTCATTCTTTTTTCAGTAAACATGTATTGAGTGCCTTCTCTGTTGCAAGCTGTAGTGTCTGTAAATTAAGAATGCTGTACTTCATTAGGAAGCAGCTGGAAACTGGAAGTAAGTGGTGCATAATCACTATATATCCTTATCTCCATTAGGAAACGTGATTTTCAATAATTTTTGGAAGGGCATTAAATAGTTCAGTTCTTTAAAGATAAAACTTGATGCAAGGAGAATCATTTGAAAAATGATTTTTTCACATTTCATTGAGTTGTAAATGAATAGATCTTTCTCTTAAAAAGCTGAATTCCAGGTTTTAAATTTGATTTGTCCTATCTCCAAAGTAATGTAAGTCTCCAGTACCTAGCCCATAATATTAGCTAGTACCATTAGAGAAAAACTTTATGAAAGGAAGAAGCATAGTGTTCTTTTTATTATAGAACTATGGATCAGTTCTATCTTAGAGCTATATCTAGTAATGCCAAGGATACGAAATGGAGCAGAATTACTACCTAAGAGCTGCCAGGTAGATCTGAGAGAAGGAAATGATAGTAAAATTCAAGTTAACTCCAATCAAGTAAATGTATCCCTCAAACTTGATTTTCATTTTCTACTTTTCTGAAAGAAAAAAAGCAAAATGAGAGAAAATAAGCTTCTTTTAATGATTGGGGCAATAAAAATACAAACTTTGATACTGTCATGGAATCAGACTACCTCCTACAACTAAAATAATTTATAATCATATCTGGTCTCCAAGATAATATCCCTAAGATACTTCAGCATTATGACTCATCTGGGAGGTAGTCATTCAGTAGTCATTCCGTTAACAGATGTTTACTTGGTGTCCTCTGTTTGCCGGAGAACAGTCACACATGCTGGCGAACCATGGCAGCCGAGCGAGGAAGTGCGTGAGAGGAGGGGTGCTTAGGGAGTTCGCTGCTGCTGAGGGGAGGATAAAGTAAGAGTGGGCTGTGGGCTCTGCAACATGCAGATCACTGGGGACGGGGGAGAGAGGTTTCTGAGCAATGGCAGGGAGGCCACAACCAGACTCTAGTGGGCTTAGGACCAAAGAAGCAGAGGTAGCACGTAAGATAGCTTTTTGAAAAAATACGTTGTGATGAGGGAGAGAAGAGGGACGGTAACTAGAAAGGAATGAGGGTTCAAGGATAAGTTCGAGTGGGTGTGTGCATGTGTGCACATGCACAAGCTCACAGACACATACACACACCATGGTTGTATGCTAATGGGAATGACATATAGAGAAGGAGAAAATGATGATTCAAGAGAGGGAAGTGCAGGGGCAACAATCTCGAAAGATCAGAGGATGGGATCCAGAGCCCAAATAGAGAGGCTGGCCATGGCTAGGAGCAGGGACTCTTCACTGTACAGGTGGAAAGACTTAGACTACAGGTAGGTGCAGCTGCCTTTTAACAAATATTTATAAAACTCCTGTTATATGCTAGGCAATGGCAATATAGCAGAGAGACAAAAATCCTTGTCTTCATGAAACTTTCATTAGAAAGGGGATTGGAAGAGATGGACAGGTAATAACCATTCGAGTAAAATAGATAGTATGTCAGATGAAACAAAGTACCACCAAGAAAAGTAAAATGGCGGCACCTGGGTGGCTCAGTCAGTTAAGTGTCTGCCTTTGGCTCAGGTCATGATCCCGGGGTCCTAGGATGGAGCCCTGCATTAGGCTCTCTGCTCAGCGGGGAGTCTGCTTCTCCACCCCGCCCCCGCTTCCTTCCCTCCCCCCACTTGTGCTCTCTCTTTCTCTCTCTCAAATAAATAAGAAAAAAAAAAAAACAGTAAAGCAGGGCAGTGGGGAAGGAGGATTTGGACAGCCAGGGCTGGTCAGGGTGATGAAGGTGGATTGCAATTCTCAGGTAGTAGGCAATTCTATATAACTCTTATTGAATTTATTTTGTGACTCTCAGACACATTTATTTTTCAAAATCACATTAAATGTGGCCTAATACGCATACGCCAGGGCTTGGGGGAAGTCTACTGTCCACTTTGTTTCATAGGTGCCGCCTTCTGTGAGTACCCCAAGGCTTGCCCAGCCCTGTACCTCTCCTTTAGAGTCCTCATCACAGGTTTTAACCTTGCTTTATTAATGTGATTATATATTTCTTCCCTTCCCTATATATATATATATTCCAGTCTATATATATATATATATTCCAGTCTATATATATATATATATATATATATATATATATATATATATTCCAGTCTAGGGAATATATAGACTGGAAATTCCAAGAGGGGAACTGTGTCCTGGACAGTTGCATCCCCAGAACCTAGCACAGTGTTAGCACAACATAGGTCCCATTTGTTCAATGAATGAATGAGTGAATGAATGAAAAGTAAAAAGACCTTTTTCCATACGCTACCTCTTGAAGAATCTTGTTTTATTATTCTGTGATCACTTTTAAGTTCTTACTTCGCACTTGGTATAGCTGATCTGGTAAATGGCCTTTTTCGATAAGGTAAGATACGATTTTATAGCAATGGAATATGTGAAATAGGGTTGTCCTCTAACTTAAGTGATGTTTCTCCACCTAATTTTTTTTTTTTTTTACAGAACCAATGCCAAAGGTGCTCCCCTGAATATAAATAAGGTCTCTAATAGCCTGATTAATTTTGGAAGAAAGCTGATTTCTCCAGCAATGACCGCCCCAGGCAGTGCGGGCGGCCCTGTACCAGCAGGCGGTAGTGGCAGCTCGTCCCCTGCCGTGGTTCCCGCCGTGGTTCCCGCCGTGGTTCCCGCCGTGGTTCCCGCCAGGACCTTAGCAGAGGTCCCCAGGCATCATTTGCAGCAGCAGCAGCAAAGACTGATGAAATCAGAGAGCATGCCCGTGCAGTTGAACAAAGGTGAGGAAAAAAGAGCAACAAATGTGAAGAAAACACCTGCAGTGTAGCCTGGGATTTCCTCACCTGCCTGTGAGGAACCAGCCTCCTAGAAATAGAGATTAATGCAAAACTGAATCGTAAAAGCTCTGTTGTATTACATCCTTTTTAAGGTGGAATATCAGATACTCTAGTGTTCTTAATAGGAACGTGTTAGCAGGTGATTTGTTGAGGTACTTCGTTAACATGTATGTCCTAGCATACTTGCGTTTGAGTCCCGCGGATGCCCACAGAGTATGGCCCAGACTGTCACAACACGGAACTTGCAAGCAGTTGACTGTGATCCTGCTACCGTTGTGTCATGGTGCCTCTGGCCACAAGAGCCAGAACTGGGAAGTTCCAGCAGCATGGGCTTTCCTAGTCAGTAGCTGCCCCCCACGCCGTTGGTGTTGGCGGAAGCGTGCCCCCGGGCTTGCAGCCGCTCATCCAGCTGCTTTACGCCTGAGGAGGATCACCTAGACCCTTCCGGGGGGCGGCAAAGCTCAACGGATCCGCAAGCAGCCGAAGTGAATGAGTCCACACACTAAGATTTAGGGCCGTAGAATGTCGGAGCAGAGGAAACGTGGGAGACCACACATCATCCCGAGCTGTCGTCCGATGAGCGGGGGCGCCGCGGGCGCTGCGGAGAGGGGCGTCCTTGCCGCCCGGCCTCACGCAAGCGCATTTTCTGTGTCACGGCCTTTGCGATGCTTCATCCCCCGCGTGAATTTTACTCGAAAGACAGCCCTTCAGGTTCTTACCCAGAACCTTTATGCTCTTCTTTTCCACAATTTACAGAGAGCTATGTATTAAGTACCTCTATTCATAGCAGATTAGAAACAGCTGCATTTATTTTTAGTGGTGGGACTCTGCTTTCTATACTATAGAAGCAGGAAATAGTAACATGATGGCAGAAAACTGACAGAATTCAATCCTAAGACCTCACAAAGTACAGAGTCTGGCCATTTAGTGTCAGGACAAATATCCTGACCCAGGCCTCCTTCACGTCTTAAAGAGATCCCTTGTTGTAGCCATGTTCAGTAACTGGTGTTGAGACTAACCATGGTGCTTTTGGATCAGTACGAAGACCTTAAACCATGTTCCATATACTCTGTGTCAGAAGATTGCATCCAAAATTATTAAAAATTTTAAATTATTGGCATTTCAACTGGTAAAAAAAAATTAAATGGACTTTATTCCCCAATGGCACAAAATAATGAGTACTATTCCATAATGAGTATATGTTTATTCTCCCGTTACATGGTGTTATCTATCATTGCCTATATGAGGTATTAGACTTTATATAGTTAGTATATAAGTTTCTATTAGAATGTTCAGTTTGCCTTACATAAGATTATCTTGTTTAAAACTACATTCTTTTTAATGTAGAGTTATCACACATGATTTAAAGAAAAGAGGACTTCAGATCATTAACACATTGTAAATGTATTTTAATGCCAGGAGACATGCCCACTTTCAGAATGGAAATGAATGTTATTTTATATATTTCTTAATTGTACTGTTTTATTGTTCTAACCAAATATGATTTCAGTATTGCTTTGATAACAAGCCATAGTCAGTAGTAATTCTAACTGATGGCAGGCAAATGAGTCAGAGAATCTCTTAATGCTGTAGCTTAAATTTTCTGAGGAAGCAAGCCAAATGACTGTAGAAGTATAAAGTTGTATCTCTAAGGAAATGTCAAGTATTAATACCACAGTAAGTGAGAAAGGAAGTGCATGAGGATGAAACAATTGATGAAAACGAAGTCCCCAGTTATAAGGAGACAGCAGAGCACTTAAGCAAAGTATTTGGAACATGAGTATCACTAGGGCATTTTGTAACTGATCCCTGTGCTGAGAGAAAGTCTCCTTGTTTGGCAACTCTTCTTTTTATTTCTGGTTCGTTCTTCTCATGTCAATCATGAAAAGCTTGTCTACCTTCATCTTAAAGATAAATATTCCAGCTACTGCCCCTCCCTGCACAAAGGTTTGAAGGAGACAGAGTAAAAGGCAGAGAGAGCAGTTGATGCCAGTAGATGCCAGTATAGGTCGCTGCTCTTCTCTCGTGACTCACCCATGAAGTGAACCGTAAGCACAGTCCTGATGCCTTCTGACCACGTGCTTCTGCACCCTGAGGTGAGAGGTTTTGGACTGCCCCCCGGGGAGCCTCCCAGCTCCAAACAACTATCAAGATGTATTTGTTAACTCTACAAGGAAAAGTACTTCTCCGACATTGGTTCTTTACACTGGTGTTTCCCACAAGTATCCTGCCGTGCTGTGGCAGTGACAAATCTGCACGTGTGTCCCCTGATCCCAGAGATGAGTGAGCACGGTCTGCAGCCTGTCAGGAGGCTTGTGTTGGAATATGGCTTCTACCTGTCTCAGAACAGTCTTCTACTAGTGCCTTTGAGGAGAGAGAACGAATTAGCCCTTTTAGTGTACTCTGCTGGAAAGTTTGAAAGTTGCTTTGAAAAATGGTTGTTTCTAAAAATGAAAATGCTTATAGTCTTCGTAGTTGAGTTAACTCTCGATGATGTGTGCTTATGTAGGGGAACAGTTGTAGGGAAAACCCAAAATTCAGGTATATGTTGCCAGAAATGCAAACTAGTTTGTGTATGTGCTGGGAGCGGGGTCGTGAAAGAAAGAAGAGGGAGCACAAATGTTCCTCCGTAATTTTCTGGTGGTATTTAATATTAAAATGAGTTTTCAGTCTCTAAATATACACTAATAGGTGATCCAAAGGCAGCAGAGAAAAATGGAATTTTTTCCATTTTTGGAAAACTGAATTGAAAATCTCCTTCAAATATATAAAAAAGAGACTCCATTTATCAGTGAACAGAGAGTTAACTATTAGGAAAATTCAGGACCTAATAAACTCTGCTAAAAGCTGCTTATTGCTGTTTGGAGTGTGTACCTATTTATAGATTTTATTTCAGTTACAGGAGATATATATACATATATCAAAATGTATGTACTATTAATTGATGGGAACTATATGATTACAACCCAGTAATTTCCAGATGAGCTGGCTGGGCTGACAGTTACAATTGTAGCAAGTGGTCAAGGCACTGAGGGTATGTTACATCATTCAAAAACTGATTTTTTACTGTTGTATAAAAGCTACAGGAGAAGGAAGTTTGTTAATTCTGCATTATCAAACATGGAAAATACGGTGTCTTTTAAGAAGGCTTGGTTTTTAGCTCATTAACTTCAAAATAGCTTAGGCCTTCAGATGCTGAGAGTCTGATTCTGTTGACAGTGACTGTGCCTAATGTTGAACTTGGTCATCCAGGAAGGAAATCAGAGAACCAAAGTCTTCCTTCTCAATGGGAGTGTACCTCAAGTTCTTCACAGAATTTCCTCTTGTGCTCCTTTTCCTTTCTTTCCTGTACTTTTAAAATGCACTCCTTTTCTCCCCATTTCCTTTGAAGTCGAACACTTATTTTGAGCATTTCCCATAGGTCCAAATTGTGAATGAAATCTTGCCTATAATAAGTATATCAAGTTTAAAGGGTGTGCAGTTCACAGATTTATTTTTACATGTTAACATTTGTAAGTACATGTGGTAACTTAGGAAATCTTTTCAGTACTTACTATGAAATTAGAGCTTGTTTAGGTATTTATCTTATCACTGAAGAAATGGGTTTTTCACATTGAGTTAAAAATAATTTCTCTCTGTTACAGGAGGAAATCAGCTTCAAAAGAATGCCTGCTTCTTAATAAATGCATATAGCTTATTTTGGATTAAGAATTTTTTTTAAAGAAAGAAAATATTATACTACACTACTGTTTCTAGCGTAATGAAATCTCAGCAAAATCTTTTGATTGCTCAAGTTTTCCTCTGCTTTAGACTAGGGGCAATTTGTTGTTTTGTTTTTTTTCTTGAAGGAAAACATGCACAGAAGCTTTTTAGGGAACACTTTTTAAAAATTATTGCCTTTAATATTTTATATTAAGTTTTCTGAGATTGTATTTTGTTTTACTGTACTTTTAGTAATTAGATTGATAAAATGATTAAGTATGAAAAAAAGTAAAGTTGATTTTTTTTTCCTTTTTATGAAATCTAATTATTTTTTCTTATGAAATCCAGGCGATGTAGTTACAGGAAGCGATGCTCAGGTTTCTGTTCCTGTCCAGACTCTAACTGACCTCCAAGGTACAGTTACCATGGCAACGTAGTATATCTCTTTGCCTGCAGTATTATCATTGCCTACTCCAAAATTCCATTTTTCTTTTTGCCCACCCTCCATTCATACTGTTGATCAGTTCACTACCATTGTTCAGCCACGGAGTGGCACTGTTGTTCAGAACAAAAGTCCCCTCTCATGTCATACCTTAGTGATGCCAAATCTGGCTGTGATGTGGGTTTTCTATGAAGTTTGCACCAGCCTCTTTTCTTGCAAAATATGATCACTCTATATTTTGTGGTTATTTTAACACTACGTTTCATTTGGAAGGTCACACTGAGGTGTTCTTTTTGTTGCATACGTGCTTTGTGCCAGTATTTAACAAATCAGTTTTGAGAGTAAATGACTTATATGCTGTTTGGATGCATATTATTATATGTATTAGCCAGAAATACTTACTATATTTTACCTGAAAGGATTATAACTTGACTTTGAAATAATTGTTTAAGTACAGGCTTTGTATTTTATAAAAAGAAAGTACAGGCTTTGTATTATGAATCTTATTAATAGAATCAAAGTCCAGTGTGACACATCTCTGACTAGTAACTGGCAATGATTTAAAATAAAAAGATCACATTTAAATACCCTCTCGTTCAAAATCTAGAAAAAGGTTTTTTTCAGGAATACAAAATAATAGTAATTTACAGTTAGCACCTCCTTTGGGATATTTAGATGTGTAAATATTGAAGTTGTTGCATTAATCTTTTATTATATAATCTTTTAGATAAAATATGCTATGAAGAAGATTTCTGTATTAAGTGGAAGCCTAGACTGACTTTAAGAATCTCCCATTCAGGGACACCTGGGTGGCTCAGTCGTTAAGCATCTGCCTTCGGCTCAGGTCATGATCCCAGGGTCCTGGGATCCAGTTCCGCACCAGGCTCCCTGCTCAGCGGGAAGCCTGCTTCTCCCTCTCCCTCTGCCCCTCCCCCTGCTCAAGCAAATAAAAAAAAAAT